AGTGTAGACATGCCTTTAGGTTTATGAATGCTTTGTGAGGGTGGAGCAGAGAAGCTGGAGTCTCCGGCCAACTACGAGTCTGCTTTGTCATATATCTCATTGTTATTGCTTAGTTTATATGTTTCTGAAATAGTGTCTGGGCTATCACATTGTTGTTATCTGTGTTAATACTTTGTGGCTTGATTCTGAAATGTCTAGCAGCTAAAACACCAGGTCTAGCCATAGTTTTCAGTGTGACATTTAATCATTTGAGCAGTCAGCAGGGATGGAAGATTTTAGGCTTTGGAAGCCTTTCATGTCAGGAATATAATCTAATTGTTTTGAAAAAGAAGATATACATTGTTTGAAGAATTTGAGACCATAGAAAAGCCTTAGACAAAAAAAAGCATTATTATTTGTAGTTAGAAAGGTATAACACGCACTGTCTATAGGAAAAAAGGAAAATCGATGTTTGAGAATCTGACTGGCAGTCTTCATTAGAGCAGAGAGAATTTCTTCTCTGGATTAAAATAAAAAATCATGTCATATATATAGAGAACAGTGCTGTTTGGGACTGTGTTTAGTTTTATGTAGGTAAAAAACCATTAGCCGTTCAATTTTAGCTTTGCTACCTTGGTATCGAGGCTGACTGAAATTGGAGTCCCATTCCTCAGCTTTACTGAGGTTTTGATAAATGATCCCATTCTTTTTCTGTCTTGAGTTCAAAATGAGATAGAATTTATTCTAGTTTTGGAAAATCCAAATCAAGCTTTATTTAATTCTCAAAGTTGAGTAGGTGATAGGACTTAAGATAATTAGGGCCTTTTCCAACCTTTCTTCATACCCATTAGGTATATTTTCCACCTTTAGTGATTGCTGTGTTCAGCTAATCTGCCAATTTAACCAAAGCAACAATTTCACAATGTAGTTTTCTTTCTGATTGTGTGCTGTGTAATCAATATACTGATATAATGTGAGTGTAATTTCCTCTCTTATTTTATCTCCACTGCACAGTATTATAAATAAACAGCTAAAAAAGAAAAAAGAAAGAAAAGCACCAAACAAATCTGTTGCATCTTCTTTTAAGATTGTACCACTGTAGACACTTGTTCTAGTAAAGTAGAATTGGACCCACTTGATTGCATTTAAATTTTTCATGCTTCAGCAGTTTGTCTGGGAGCACAGTAAAGAAAACCCCCCGAGCGAGGATAGTTTAGAATAATAGAACTTGATTTTGTGTATTATAGCGGCACCATTTGCGCTGCTGTAGTTAGGGTTGTGTCAGCACTTCCATTATAAACCCCTGTTTGCAGGGGTTATAACTAGGGAGATATTTTTTATCAAAAATTTTTTTTAAATCATTTGAGTGAATTTAATTGATAATAGGAGAAAAAATAAAATAAAGTATAATGGAAATTAGTAAATTTCTAATACCTTTTACAAGGTTTATTATGAATATCGGTGTTCGGTTTTTTCTTTTTCCTCTCACCAGGGATTTTAGCAAATGCATTTTGAATATTTTAAATGTAAAATTGGGAAGTTATTATGGCTTAAAATTTGACTGCTATTCATACTCATATTTTAATATTAAAACATTTTAACACAACAACCTGTTCTGTGGTTTAATGTTATCATAAACATAAACTACTCTAATGGGCCAGATTCTTCTCCCTTTGAATTTCATGAGACCTGGGAGTTATTGGCTGAACTCTGCCTTTGGATCTGATGGAGTTCCGTGTACAGAATTCTCCCATTTGAGTAAAAACAAACAGGTAATGAGTGAAAACCTGCATGGAGTAATTGACTGTGTAACACCCAGTCTCAGAGTTTATATTTACTCTGTCTTACTGATTATAAACCCAGGCATAATCAATATTTGGTGCATAACCTGGCACCCTCAGAAGACAGGTACACGAGGTATATTGATTGAGTTAATGATTGTGCTGGGAAAAGAAGGTGGAGGGCTTAATCTAGCAGGGTCCTAGATCTCTGTCCCTTTTACCCCAATGTTTAAAACCTAGCAACCAAAAACCTGAAAGGTACCATTAAGTGCTGACCTCTGACCATAATTAATGCGCTAAATCTTGCTGTTTTAGCAAAGGTTTTGGGGAAAATAGAAGCGAAACACCCCCCTCAAACTTATGCCGTGAGAAGAGCAAGTGCCTGGGAGGTCTGCCTGAGCTTGTCTTTCTTTTCAGGCTCCAGGACTATAGGTAACTGAGTAAAGTGCAGTATGAAAACGTGTCTGACCATAACACAGCAGTGGAGAAAAGGGATAGGTGGAGCTAGAAAGCATTTGAACCCTGCTCTTGGTCCGTTCTCTTAGTCTAGTACAGAAAAAAGATGCTGGGCATGGCTTGAGATTATTAGTGAATGCAACTTTGTCAATATAATTTTATTTTTAAGGTTAACAGAGTCCCCTTTTCCCTATGTAATCAACTTCAACAACAGGACATGAATAGAGATTTTTATTTAATTGTGTTTAAAACATCACGAATAAGAGGAAAGTATATTAGCATATATGGCAAAGAAAAAGTGTTTCCTCTATAGTGCATTACCAGTAGATGGTTTTATTGAATGGTCACTTGAGGAAATACCAAAAGCCTGTTTATGAAATGGAGGTGAAGCCTTTCTAGACTAATTATATTCAGCATGTAATTTCTAAACTTCAGTCTGAATTTTGATTTTCAATTAACATTCCCAATTTGAAGATAATTTTCTATTTAATGTAATTGCAGGAAATAATTTATTGGCTGATTAAGACTGAGGGCCCAGCCTTCCTTAAGAAAACAGTCCCTAACAAACCAGCCTTTAAAGCCAACTCATAGCTTTGGACAGATTCAGCCTATTTTTGCAGCTGCAGAGTTGTGTTTAATTAGGATTGTGCACTATTATTCATTGGTGCAGTTTGTAGTTGAAATTATTCTTAAGAGACATTTTCATTTCTAGTTTTGTGTCATGATTAATTTATGGTGAAGAAACAGCCATAGCTATTGCTTTTCACAGAAGCTCGTTCAGTTTGAAACAGGAACGAGATCTGCTGAGAAGGTGAAAGAAAGGAAAATCCTTTATTGTGACTTTCAGTTTTCATGTCTGGTTTTCAAATTGCATAAAGCGTTGACTTACATTTTCATCTAAGTGATTACATTAACATGACTATTTTAATGAGAAAAGGGAAAGTAAACCTTTTATTTTATATTGGATCATAGTAATTATGAACCAGAACCTTTTGAAGTACGTGCAATAATGCTGGTTGCTGAACTCTTGGCATGTTCTCTGTAGCATCAACACAAATTCTTTAGTGTAGTAAGAATGTAATATACGGTTTAAATTCCTCAGTTCTGCTTATTGGCAATATTAATATTAGACTCCCACTTACACTTAGGCTCCCCTAAAGAAAATGCAAACCTTTTTTCCTCCCACCAGTATCAAGCTTAAGAGGCCAGATTATCTCTATTTACAGAATAGTTATTCTAAATAGGTATCAGTGTTTTAATATGTTTCAAAGCACTTCAAAGCTTGTAATACTTTCATATAGAACTGTGCATAATTAGATTAGTTGATCCTATATTAATTTTTTTTTCACTGTAGGATACTAAATCTGAACTCCCTCATTAATTGTGAGAAATTTAGCATTAGCTGTTAAATCCTATGTGAAACACAGGCTGCTACGTAAAAACTACTGTTTAAATTGGAATTAACTTAATTATTTTTCTTTGCACTTGATATTTCCTTCACTGTAATATTCATGAAAGCATGTGACAGATTTGTAAATTTAACTGTTAGTCTCAGATTTCCAGACCCTTTAATCAGTATTTATTTGTCTGTAGAAACAGTACTAGCAAGTTAATGATTTGCTAATTTGAAAAATGCTCATGTGGTTTCCTATGTTAACTGATTTGTGCATTTTTAAAGAAATAGTATGAAATCAATTATTGTTAAAAAGCAATTAAGGTGAAGATCTTATTCCTTAGTTTCTCGGCAATTTCAATGTCAAGGATATTCTAAAGTTACTAAAACCTGGGAAAATAGCTGATATATTTTAGCTGTCTTCTTTCAGATTTATTAATGATTGTTTTAACAGTTGCAGTTAATCTTATTAGAAATTTTAAACAAAGTGTTTTCAGATTTTGAGTTGAAGTCAGTTATATTTTCATATAAGTGCAGAAACTGTGGTGAAAGCTGTGTTTGCATACGAGATGGTAGCAAGAGACCATTATTAGGAAAAGACATTTAACATAAATCAATGCATTTATTCATTACACTTTTAAGTCATTTAAAGTAATTTGTTCAGCTATATCCTGTACTCAATGCCTAATATGAAATTAAACATAATTATTTTAGATTTTTAGTTCAAACTGTAAAGGATATTACTCAGATATTATCCATCCATTCAATAAACCATTCAGTTTTAGAACACTTTTCACATGAACATCTCGAAACACTTTCCAAAAGGTAAAACTGGGTAAAAATTTTAAACAGGTTAAGAGCAGATGCAGCTTTAAACAAAGAGCAAAAGGAGTTATTTAGCAGAATTTGAAATGGATTTTAAAATTCTCATCTGTGTGGAAAACATCTTCTGCTTGCAAGGAATGAGGTTAGGAAAGCATGATGGATTCTCTCATTTAAACATTTGCTTATAACCTTAAGATCGCTCATGGGAGTAAGAGTTTAAAGACTTGAACTCCTATGCAAAATCAACATGAAAATACCAATAAAATCACTATTTTCTTATAGCTGGAGAAAATTATATTGTTTGACAAGTCTAAATGAACAGAATGACATCATATAACTTAACCCTGACTTTGGCTTGGCATCAGTGAATACTTTATCTCAGTGTTTCGGATCCAGATCCCCCAAACCTGTACTTTTTAGAGTACTTTTGTCGACTGCATATGATTAATTTTAACTGTTGTAGGCAAGTGTGCCTCCTGTCTGGTTTGTTTAGAGGACTGTTTTGAGCTTGATTTTTTTCATTTAACACCAATGTTTTCTTTTTGTCTGGTTTTCTTGTTTTGTAGAAGAATGTCTTCCAAGCAGGCTACCTCTCCATTTGCATGTGCAGCTGATGGAGAGGAAACAATGACCCAGGACTTAGCATCACGAGACAAGGAAGAGGGCAACAGTGATCAGCATGCGACCTCTCATCTGCCTCTACATAATGTAATGCACAACAAACCTCACTCTGAGGAGCTACCAACTCTGGTCACGACCATCCAACAAGATCCTGAGTGGGATGGAGTCATCTCAGCCCAACACAGAATGGTGAGTTTCACAGTTCTCACAGTGGCTTTCTAAATCAGTATTGTAAAAGACTGTTCACTTCCATTTTGAAAGACATGTTCAGTGCAATCCTTCATGTGTGTAAAGCTTTTTAAATGTTAAAGTGTCGGTGTCAGTAATAGATCAACATCAATATGGTGTAATTGTAAATTACAATTGTATAATCTTCTTAAGTATACAGGTCTATATGAATGAGGTCATTTGATGAGTTCACCTTCGGAAAGGAAATGCATCTATTTATCATGTTTTCATTCATACCTTGATTTATGTCATAACCTCTTTAGCTCATATATTCAAGCATTAATTTCTGACAGGAGGATGTAGCTCACAACTGTTTATCATCTGCAAAGTGTTGTGCTGAAGGAAGAAACTTTAATGTATTTTTTTACTTGTCTCTCAGAAATAGAAACCACCAAGTCTAGAATATTACAGCTTTACACCACAACAAAGAAGCTGGCATTTTAGGTGACACAAACATCCTGCTGTATTTATAGGAAATTACAACTTTTTGTGGTGGGGAAAGGTGTTTATGAGTAACTATGTCATGCTTTTCTGCTCTAGATCACCAGTTTGTATATAGGTGATGTTAGCAATGATCAGAATTATTATCTGTATTCTCTTCAGTAGCCTACATAAAATTATTTGCAGTTGTAATTCTGTCTCTGCATCCCCAAAACTCTGCAATAAATGGGCAGACTGAATGAAGACTGAATGGGCATAGCATCTCAGTCAATTTATTTTCTTTGCATGTGTTCCTGAGGAACAGAATTAGGGTACGTGGAGCAGCCAGGTGTTCTGTAAATTTAGAACATCATAATTCCAGACTCTCCATAAAGTGACTTTCACAGACATTAAATGCACACAGTTAATTTAAAAAGAATACCCTGCCTTTTCATAAAATTTCTTCTGTATTTTTATTAAATGTCTATGAGTGGATTTTTTTTCAGCCAATCTTTTTTTTTTTCATACAAATCAGCAGCTTTCAATAAGGTTGAAAACCAACAATTGTAGAATCTTTTTTGACAGCTCTAACAATAATGAACTTATTTCAAATTTGACTAGGAATAATAATTCTAATGCATTAATCAATATAGACACTGGAATTCTTCATGCATATTGCAATGCCTGGAATTAATTAAATAATAGCACTGCAATAATATCTATTTTGTTAATATAGTGTTGTTTTTTTTTCTTTCTAAAATCCAATTGATTCCAAAGATCAAACCAAACTAAAAAAATGCTACCTAGTCTGTAATGCACAATTTAACCCAGTGCAGAACTTTCTGTCAGGCCTAAAATATTCCTAAGTATTTGGGCTACTGTCATGAAGAAGGCAAAATTTCAACTGTAAAAATAGCTTTAAAGAAAAATTATTATAGGTTAGTAATTTGGCAAGGTAGGTTTTAAGTTGTACATATGGCTTCTATGCAGAATTCTCAGATGGAACCTCATTTTGGATGGAGAGTCAGCCTTTTGCCCAAGTCATGCGATAAGCACGTCAGAATAATTTTAACTTCTGTGTTATCAGGAGGACAAGCGGGATGCAGAATAGAAAGGATTGATCAAGTCTGTTGAGGAAAAAAATAAATCTGTGAATTCATCAGCTACTTTCCTATTCATTCAGAGGCATGCACACTCTGGGAATTTTTTTCTTAGGACACCGTTAACATTGATAAAATGACTCTGTGTCCCAGAGAGAAAGGAACTCCTAGCCTCTAGGAGTCCCTCAAAACATTTGTTTTTGATTCAGGCTGTTCCTTGGACCTGGAGTAATGCTTAAACCAAAATGACAGAACTTCTTGCAGTATGATCAGTTGTACTCATTTGTATTGCTCTGAAGTGGGTTTACACTTACAGCAACAGAGTGCAATCTCTGTTTTCTTTCTTAATGCTGCACTATTATGTTAACGCTTGCTGTACCTCTGGACAGGCATGAATCAATACCCAGCTTATCATGTTTCAGAACAGGTGCATAAACTTTGCTTGAGTGACTTAGCACTCTGGTTTTCCTCTCTCCTTTTTTCAGTAAATATTCCATCAAATATGTAGATGAATGTCCTGAAAATCATTAGGAGTTTCCACAATTCCCTTGATTTAAATCTGGTGGTGGATGTATGTCATCCTTATTTAGGTAGCTCTTAGCTAACCCAAACAGATTTTTTTGCCCAGCTCAAAGCTGGGTATAATTTACAAGGCTTGGCTAGAAGTGAAAGCTGAAGTTCTAAGGCATGCTGTTTGGTTGCACTTGAAAGACATCTAAAATGTACAGAGCAAGGTCCCAGTGTGTTTGCAGTTTAGGTGAGTTAGATGACTAGTTAGATCACGAAAGTGAAGTGATCTGAAAATTTTTTTTCTCCTTGAGGGACTGTCATTTAGGGTAACTTGTTTGATTTTTTTTTTTAAATTATTTTTTCCCCCCCTTACTTATGTCCTTCATGAGCAAATCTGTAAGTCTCAATTAATTGCATAAAGTTCCTCTGAAACACCTCAGTCTCCAAGCAGACATTAATATTGCTAAGAAAGAATTCAGAGGCGCCTGCAATTTTCCCGATGAAGGCAATTTCGTACTCCTTTAAGGGAGGATAGGAGTTTCTTTCTAGAAAGACAAATTCCAGAAGGTGGGTTGGGCAATTTTGAGATAGGTGCTGTGGTAGTGACGGCTTTTCTACTTAATAAAACCAAATTCCCAGAAGGTAAGCGCTTTCTGACCTTTCCCAGACGGATCCTTTCAAAGCAGATTTGAAGAAGCACCTGCTCATACCATTTACACTGAAAGTAAAGACAGTAGTGCTGTCATTAAAATGCATCAATAATGTGTGTTGTCTGGTTTTAAGATAGTAAATTCAAAGAATGCTGTGTCGACATATGGGGAGGAAAAAATTTCTCTTTTATGTGGTACCTAATTAAGGGCACAATCCTGCATCCTTTATGCCCTTAAAAATACTAAGGAGTTCGCTGGAATTTGTGAGAACACACAGTATGCATCGTAACATGCTACGAGGGCCGTACAGATCTTAGGTGAAAAAAAGATACTGTAGTAGGGCAATTTGACTGAAAAAAAAGATTGATTTTTTTTTCCCCCCCAGCATTTATGGTATGCAGCACTTTCTGTAATATAAGATACCTTTAAACTACATTGTGTATTATCATAAAAAAACCACACTGGCTAGAAATGTTTTCAAACTTTCACTCCCTTTTGATATCAGGCATTGCTTTCCACTGAGTCCTTTGTGTATTCTGAATGTCTGGAAGCCAAAATATTTTGTTTTAACTCCCACTCTATAGTATTTCCCAGCTGTGTACTTATATGGTGTAATAAAAGGATTTAACAAATGGGAAATAGCAGCTGCATTTGGAAATTCCCTTTGTGCTCCCTTTTCATTTGACAGATTCAGCAATGTGTAACAACTGTAACGTCAGACCTGTAATGACTTACACTGCGAGATTCGTATCACCAGCCAATTTGATGTTACAGTGGGGAGAAAATAAAACAACCGAAAGATTTCTGTAATTTCATATTGCTGAGCTGAAAAGATTATATGTGTATTTCTAACTGTAACTTAATATAAAAATACCTGGACATACGGGTATTTATTGCTGCCTGTAGTTCTACTAGAAAATGAAATCTATTTTAGGCTAAGGGCCTATCTATTTGCTGTGGTAAACTGTAGGGAAGAGGGCGAAGTGGTACTAAGATAATGAGGAAACTATCCTGCTTTCTTCCATGGACAGGCAGTAGCAGGCAAGAAATACAGACAAATTTTTATATTGCATCCAAAACCTGGCTCTCCTGGGGCAACAGACTGAGAGAGGATGAGGGGGGAAAGCCAACAATACTTACTTTTGCTAAATTTAATAGTAACTGAATTGTTGTATCCCAATAATATGTTTACTAGTAAATATGTAAAGAAATGGAGAATCATAATTTGAGCTTTGTTCACTGGGGAACCAGGAATGGTCCCCATCTTCACATAGAGCCCTGCACAGCTTGTGAGGTAAATTATGAAGGTTTTTTTATTTTTGCTCTGAAGTATCAGGAGAAAGCAGTGCCAACAACAAGATAAAAAATTAGACGGACAAGTGGCCTGATCTTCTTTGAGGAATAGGATAGTGTATTCCCATGGCTGTAAAGGCTAGACGTTGGCCTCGTGAACAATAAATTTGAGCAGCTTTAACCTAATGAAATCTGGAATCTTTCTCCAAATCGCAGAATTCCCCCCCTGCCCCCAACAGTAAAAAGAAGAGAGAGGCAAATTCTGTTCCCATCCCCAACACCAATATAACAATCTGGTAACAGACAGTGTTTGTGAAGAACTCGCAGGCACTGTGCCGATCACTACGTATGATGATGTATCACTGCGATGGTCACTGTACTCTTTCCTTTTCCCACTGATATTCCTCTCCTGCCCACCACCGTAGGGGGTATGTAGACAATGTGTGCATGCACAGAATGAGGGCACCCACATCTTTTTGCTCTACTGTTACTTGGAACGATGCAGTGAGAGACTGTTACAGGGAACCACAGCAGCAGGTCAAGTCTAAAGGATGGGTGTTATTTCTCTGTGACTGAGGAAAAACACACACACATACATATACAAATACAAGTTAATTACCTCCATATATATGCTAGTTTCCCCATACATTTTGTAACATCATTCAGAGACCCCTTATATTTAGAAATGAAATGTATCTCATTGGATTTTATCTCAAATGGCAACATCGACATATATTTCATAATTATGTCAAGTCTCTGTCTTTTGTTGACTTCTTGCCAAAAGAGTGAAAGGCTTGCTACCTTTCCACTGTGTCTGCACGTATGTCTCAGCAGTACTGATAGCAGATTTGTATAGGCAGCAGAAAAAGTGAAGATCTCTTAATGCCGTATGTATTTGTTCTTTTAAAAATAATTTTGAATCACCGAGTATCAAATTTAACTTTACATAGCTTTAGCAAAACTACTGGCATCAGAAAGGCAGAAATAG